ATCTGGGACCCTCAGCAACTGGAAATGCTGAACAAATAACCATGGGACTTAGGTCTTTCAAATTCAAGAATCCATGCCTATCCTGTCAGCATAACACATTCACCTTCTTTAAAGCATTCTGATTAGGCCAGCTGATTTCTGATATACCTATCTCTATCTGACTATAGTTTTTCTGTCTTCAAACTCAGCCCATTGTCTGTTAACAACAAACCTAAATAACCTAGTTTTAAAAAATTAACAAAAGACGGAGACATTTCTTGAATGATGTAGACTAGTGGATGACAAGCATATGAGAAGATCTTCAACATCATTCATCATCAGAGAAATGTAAATTGAAACCATGAATGGTGGTTTAAATAGGTATGGCCCCCATAGGCTCATGTGTTTGAATGTTTGGTCCATAGGGAGTGGCACTATTAGGAGGTGTGGCCTTGTTGGAGGAAGTGTGTTACTGTGAGGGGGGCTTTGAGGTCTCATATGCTCAAGCTATACCCAGTGTGGCTCCTAGACTCTTTCTGCTGTCTGTGGATCAAGATGTGGAACTTTTAGTCCTTCTCCAGCACCATGTCCCGCCATGATGATAATCAATTAAACCTCTGAAACTGTAAGCCAGCCCCAATTAAAAGTCTTCCTTTATAAGAGTTGCTGTGGTCATGGTGTCTCTTTACAGCAATAGAAACCCAAACTAAGACACCATGTGAGACAATATTTTATACTCAGGATGGAGGGAAAAAAGGAGAGAGAGAAGAGAAGGGGGAGGAAGAGTTGGTAAAGATGTAATTATGACCTTTGTGTTACATTTGGTAAGAATACAGAATGTAGGTCTGGTGTAGAAAACAACACCACTCTTCAAAAACACAAAATCAGAATCAGCTAGTTTCGGCAATTGCCTTGCTGGGGATACTTTTATAAGGACTGAAAACAGGATTTTGAAGAGATATTTACATACTCAACTTACAGCAGCAGTGTTCACCATAGCCAAGTGTAGGAACAACCTTTATGTCCACAGATCGATGGATGGAAAACCAGAAGGTGACATTTTACTTAGCCCCGAGGAAGAGAGTCTGCAACATGCTACAGCAAGATAGAAATGCGAAGTAAGCAGCTTGCAAAAAGATAGCTCTCTTCCAGGAGCCTAATAGCTTTCTCTTTGCTGTGACAGGATGCTTGACATAGTTGATCTGGGCTCACAGTCTCAGAGGGCTCCATCCCTAGTCCCTGGCTCTAATTCATTCTGGGCCTGTGGTGAAGAAGAACGTCATGGCAGATGGAGTCTGGAGGAGGGGCCATCCAGAGCTAACCCATGGTGGGAAGCAGAAGTATGAGGGGGTGAGGGGAGAGAGAGGGGAAGAGGGAGAGAAAAGATAAATAGAAAGAGGCCAAAGGAAAAAAAATCTTTCTTGAAAGACTCACCCCCATCCCCAGTGACCCACTTCCTCCTGCTAGGTTCTACCTGCAGAAATTTCCAGAACTTTCCCCTATACCACTACCAGTTGGGGAGGGGAGCACGTGAGTCTTTGGGAGACATTTTATGTGGTGGTATTGTGTTCCCCAAAATATTGTGCACCCTAATAAACTTATCTGGGGTCAGAGACAGAACAGCCACAATATTAAACATAGAAGTTAGGTAGTGGTAGCACACACCTTTAATCCTAGCATTCCAGAGACAGAAATCCCTCTGGATCTCTGTGAGTTCAAGGCCACATTGAAAACAGCCAGGCGTGGTGACACATGCCTTTAATCCCAGAAAGCGAGCCTTTAATCCCAGGGAGTGATGGTAGAAGGCAGAAAGATATATAAGGCGTGAGGACCAGAAACTAGAAGCATTTGGCTGGTTAAGCTTTCAGGCTTTGGAGCAACACAGTTCAGCTGAGATTCATTCTGGATGAGGACTCAGAGGCTTCCAGTCTGAGGAAACGGGACCAGCTGAGGAATTGGCAAGGTGAGATAGCTGTGGCTTGTTCTGCATCTGATCTACCAGCATTCACCCCAATACCTGGCTCAGGTTTGATTTTATTAATAAGACCATCTAAGATTTCTGCTACAATTTTATGTTGAAAAACCACAGCAATGGGGGATTTAGAGTGGTCAAATTCACAGAGATTCAAAGTAGAATGTGGGGGGTGGGTACCAGAAGAATGGAGAGAGGGGAAATGGAGACCAGTTCCACGGACACTGAGTCTCAGATTTCAGTCTAGAATGGCCTGTATTCTAGCTTTGGGGATCTGTGTGTTTCAAGTTTGTTATTTATGGCTGTTTTTTTTTTTTAAGTAAACCATAAGAAGTGTGAAGTTTTTAAAAATTTAAAAATATACCCCTCAGCCCCCTATTCTGGGCATGGGTTGTGTGACAAGCATGTATATGATACTGTTGAGTTGTACACTTAAACATGGTTAGAGGGAGAAATTTATGTCAAGTTTTTTTTTTCTGAACTACAATTAAAACAACAACAGCAACAACAACAACAACAAAAAGCCCTGCTGATGGTCTTCCCTTCTCTGGCCAGCCCAGCATGGGAAGTACACCTTCTTCTCAGAACTCCTGGAAGTGATTACTCTTTCCACAGCTGGGCTGATAATCCAACCGGCTTCTTCTTTGTGTGACATTCGAGATTCCTTTTTGACAAGCTGTTTCAAGGCAGGGATAAAATCTTTACCTCTTTATTTCCCCCCATGGCACCTCACACTGTCTCAAGCCTAATAACAGTTCAATTAATATCTGCTGACTGGATCGTCACTTCCCTTGATGTGTTTTGGTCTTGGAGTTGGCGGGTGATGGATGGAAGAGAGAGCAGCCGCTAAGGAGAAGGGCATGAGGGAGCGCGCCTGGCTGCCAGTTTGTTTTCCAGGCGTTGCCTGTGAATTGTCTGGGCAGCTACATCCCCCTGTGGTCAAACTTACACATATTCGTATTATTTTTTACTCGTACCTAGATGGAGGTGGTACCGTGAGGACATGAGGTAGATTAGTTGTAAGAGAATGGTGGTGTGGACTCCGCAAAGTTTGAGGCTGAAAAATGTCGGCGGACATTAACCTGACCCGCCGGAGCCATGCACCTCCTCTGGAAGAGAGGTCTACAACTCTCCTCAGCCATCCAGCTCAGTGTCTTACAGATCTTCCGCCGGGAAGCCGTCCTCCTGACCTCTCCCCCTCCCCCCTCCGTGTAAACTTCTTCTCGGCTGCAATGGAGACATTTTCTTGTCGCCTTCTCCCTTGTACACTCTTTTAAAAATTGGACTTGAACAGAATAAAGATCCCTCCCGTAAGGTAACTGTAATTTTCCTCTTTGTAGGGTGGTTCCTCTGTTAAATTAATTGTCTGGTTCTCCTGAAAAGCAATCTTTTCCCCCAGTTCATGTTCCGTTTTTGACCTAACATGGCCATTCTTGGCCTTTTGAATGGGATTTGCTTCTGGTCGGGAATTACATTTCCATAGCAACGCCGGCAGCCATCTTAAAAGCACTCCCCCCCTCCACCTCGCAGCCCTGATTTTAACACTCTGCCATCCCTCTCGCACAGACAGGTGGCTCGCCTGGGCAGAAACCATGGGTGTATTTATTCTCATTTAGGCAGGGCAGACAACAGCAATGGCGACTCAGACCACTGACAAGCTGAAGAAAACCACACAAAGGAAGAAGGCTGCTTGCTCTCTGTTCCTGGGGGCCCCTGGCTGCGGTTTACTTTTTAGTTTCACAGCCTGCCTTACAGAACTTGGGATGGAGGTTTTCATCTCATGTCTGAATCACCCAGGCCTTTTCCTCTGAGCAGGGCACCCCACGAAGCTAGAAGCAAGAGAATGGCCTGTATTCTAGCTTTGGGGATCTGTGTGTTTCAAGTTTGTTATTTATGGCTGTTTTTTTTTTTTTTTTTTAAGTAAACCATAAGAAGCGTGAAGTTTTTAAAAATTTAAAAATATACCCCTCAGCCCCCTATTAGTGACTCTGAAGGATCTTTGTCGTCCACGGAGTTAGCTTCAGACTCTGCCACACAGCACCAAGGCCTTCAGTTTGCTGGTTTCTGCTTGTCTCAACTCACCCACACCTCCTTCCCTTCCTCCTCTTCCTACCAGAGAGGAGATGAGCTCTCACCAGAGATCCGACACTCCCATCCTGTGTGTCCCACCCCTGAACCTGATGCACCCTTCCTGTACCCACCTGCCCAAGGCCTTCTCCTTCCTCTGCGTGGGTTTTCTCAGCTGGTGTGTGGTGAATACAATTGCAGAAGAATTCGTGGCCATCTGGGGGGTGGCAGGTGGACCTTGGGCCGCTGGAAGGCCCGCCAGGCCAATCTTCCCATCTACATCTGCATTGTTTATTTGTCTTAGTGAGCCACCAGTTGGGGTCATTTTCTGGGGGTGCCATGTTATAAAGAGGTTGGCAGCTCTGCTTTAGGGCCTAGCCTCCACTAGTCTCTCCTACCCTCCAGCTAACAGGCTTGAGGTCTCCCGGAGGAACCTTCTCCAATCCATTTTCCCCCGCAGTCTGTGTCTCTCTCTGTGTCTTCAGTATTTACCATTTCTCCTACACATAACACCCCCCAATCCACTCAACCCCCCTCCACTCCCCACCCCTACCTAGGGCCTGACAGCTCTTTAGCAATTTCCTTAGTATGTAGTTATACCAAACAGACTAGAACCACCTTCTCTTGTGTGAAATTGGGTCCCTTTAAATGCTTGTTGATTTGAATTCTAACCATGGATTGTCTTCCCGGAGGAATTCCCCTGACACACTGCTCTTATTCCAGTGACCCACCACTCTTCAGACTGCTTCTGGAATTTCTTTGCTGGAACTGTTTTCAGAAGATCTATGAGCTGAAGAATAAAATGAGTCTCTTTTCCTTAGACTCGAACACCGTGTACTTAATTCTCATTTTGTTGTCATTGTTAGTCAACAAATATTTATTGAGCTCCAGGCACGAGGCTGTTTTCTTAAAAATTTAATATAAACTACTTGTCTACCTTATTGGCAAGATTTGGCTCTAAATAAGTTTGGTCTCTTTCCAGAAATCAAATCTACTCTCGGAACATTACAGATTTACTATCTTGGAGCAGATTCATAACAAGGAAGACAAAGGATGCGAAACTGCAGCAAGTGACACAGAACGGTGACAGCGTGAACGTGGCCACAGCACTGGGAGGAGGGACTTCTCGAAGTCCACCCTGCAAGGGACAGCAAGGCCAGGGTGGTGAGTGCTGGGGTGTGCGAGTTACACCTCCCATCACGGTGACCAAATACCCAATGAAAGCAGCGGGACGGAAAGGAGGATTTGTTTCAACCGTGGCTTGAAGAGCTGCAGTCCCTCGTGGTGGTAAGGCATGGCAGTGGGAGTACTAGGCATCTGGTCCCTTCGTATTCATTCAGATGGATGCTGTTCCACTCACTTCCTCCTCCTATCGTTTCATACACTCCAGGACCCCATGCCCAGGGATAGTGCAACCATCATTCGGGGTCTTTCCCCTTCAGTTAAACTTCTCTGGAGACACCCTTACAGACCCACCCAGAGGTGTATCTCCTAGGGGACTCTAAATCCCTTTGGCAAAGATGTTTGTTTGTTAAGACTCATTCTCCTTGGCTTAAGTCACCTTTGCACAGATAGGGGTCATTCAAAGGACAATGGAGCACAGTGATCTGTACCTTTCAAGAGCTTCTGTCAAAAAAAAAAAAAAAATTTCTTCTCTAGGATTCTGTCGATACTCAAGAACACATCTGACCCCGTGAATCAGTGTAGTGTGTGCTTAAGATTATGCTATTTGTATGCCATCGAATTCATCTGTGCCCTGGCTTTGCTGCTTGGCTGGGCTGTCTTGGGGCTCACTTTGCTCCCCTGTTTCATGGAAGGCTGCTGTGTACTTTACAGAGCTGCTGCAGAGGTAGTCATTGGCTCTGACACACAGCTATTCTGATTTCAAACAAAGCTTCCACAAACATATTGGATTATTATCGTTTCCCCAGGAGAATGGAGGGCGAGGTAAGAACTCCTGCCTGCCAGCTTTTGGAGACTGGGATTATAGAGTGGCGTTTGAGACATTCCAAGTCCTCCAGAGGGAACAGTAGAGCTGGCTGGTGAAATGTCAGGGCTGCATCTCAGGAAGGATGCTGTCTGAGGCTGGTTTATCCAGCAGGATGTGTGAATGAACCATTCCTGGAGAAGGGGCCTAGCTTGGCAGAGTGTATTGCTGTGACTTGGATCTTGAATGCCTCCCCAAAGCCCAAGTGTTGAAAGCTGAGTCAGCTTGTGTCTCTGTTGGAAGGTGGTGGAACCTTCAGAAAGTGGGGCCCAGAGGGAGGCCCAGATAGGTCATTGAGGGCAGCTTTTGAAGGGGATGTTGAGATCCTGACTCCTCTATAGTTGCATACCAACTGACATGAGGTAAGCAGCTCACTCTTGTGCTCCCTTGTGACTCCAAAACAATGTTCTATTTTGCTACAGGCCCCAAATCAACAGAGCCTACTGACTATGACTGAGACTTCTGAAACAGTGACCCCAAATAAGCCATTGCCTCTCGTATAGCTTGGGTATGTTGTCACAGCAACACAAGTTTCCTGACACACACTCAAGTTATTCCTCACTGCTTCCAGCAGAGTAGCTGTTTGAAAGACAGTTGGGTCCTCCTCCTCAACTTTAAGCTCTGCTTGCAAATGTTCCTAACAGACCTGCTACTCCTCCAAGCACTGATTCTAATTCCTGCTGGTCTATACTCAGTCCATCTGGAAAGCTTCCCAGAAGAACATGATTAGGGCCAGCAGTTGGGCTGCCTCACAGGTGTCTGGCACACATCAACTCATGAGACCCTAAGAGGCAGGTAGGCCTTCTAGTGGTCCTTGCTTTATGGATGGGGAAATCAAGGCTCAGAGAAGTGAGCAAATTGACCAGCCCTACATGGCTGCTCAGTGCAAATGACTCGAGTCAAGGAAGTGGAAAGGAGAACATCTCAGCGGCCTCCTCAGGCCTGGACTACACTCAGGAGTTTGCGGATCAGCAGGATACTGTGACACACACATCTGTAACCCCAGCACTCAGGAGTGGAAGGTAGGAGGGTCTTGAGATCATGAGTTTGAGGCCAGGTTTGGCCACATAGTGAGTCCATTCTTAGAAAAAAAGAAAAGAAAAAGGAATTTACAGATTAATCCAAATGAATTCATTACTTAATCACATTTACCATTTGTCCTCCTTCTAATGCCTGGGTTCCAGGAGGCCAAATTTTTTGCCTTTTTTTTTTTTATTAACTGATGAATCTTAAGTAACTAGAACTGTGGGAGCACACAAAAATGCATAATAAATATTTATTGAATAAATGAAGTATCAATATTTTTTTAAAGACTTTTCTCCTGTTTCTTTCTGGGTGTCTCTCTTACACACACACACATTGCTTTTTAGAAATTTTGGTCTGTGAGTTGTTGGATCTTCCCATGATCCTTTGCTGTCTGGGTGGGTTTCCATCAAAATACCGACTCTTCCCCAGAGGAAAGCATAGTCCTAGTCTGAAGTCTGTGTTCATGGATATTTTTCCTAGAGACAATTACAGTTCTTGGCAATCAGTTGCTTCTGATGGTAAATTAGACCTTTAGATGTGGTCTTGTGGTGTGTTTCAAGTCTTTAAGTTGAATCTCTGTTGGGAATGCATGCTTCTATTTGCTACGGTCTTTCACCCTCCCCATTCTACCCTGGGCAGAGTGATTCTAGTGCAACCCCAGTTTAACAGTTGAGGAAATGGAAGCACTAAATGAGCAGTGAGCTGCTCACAGTCATGTAGCAGGCAGAGGCTGAATTAAGCTCTCATCTACTTCCTGGTCCTGTGTGCGTTCTCTTACATCCTTACTGTGTGTCCCCTTGCAGGAATGCCCTGTTTGGCTAGGAATGAAAACTGATGTCATTAGTCCAGGGGATGTTAGTCTGGGGTGAAGGGACAGAGGAGATGAACTGAACAGAGACAAGCACCTCTCTTTGTTCTGTTCTCAAAAAGCCATGGTGCTCATTGGCGACCCCTTCAAATGATGGCGTTTTCAGCAAATGAGAGGGGAGCAGGTCTCTCTCTTCCACCCCCATTGTAATTAGTTGTCAAAAAATTTTAGATGGAAGGGGGAATGCTCAGACCCTGATGAGATGATACAGCAAAGATTTCATTTCATCTTGAATTTGACATTAAACTTTAATAGTCTCAAGGACAAGAAGCCAAGAGATATCAGATGTAATGCGATAAAGCAAAGTTTCTCTGACAGCAAATTTGATCACAAATGGGCTCCAAGATTGCTTCTTTGATATAAATGAAACATAATTCATCTTCCAGAGCCCCGAATGGGCTTTCAGAGTGGGACCAAAGCTGGCATCTCTCTTGCCTGGTGCTGACAAGTGGCAGCCCAGGGAGGAGGTATGGGCTTGGTAGGACCCTGCTGGGGCAGCAGCCACTGTGTCTGGGAGGAGATGGGATGAGCAGGCACTGGAGGCAGAGAGCATCTGGGACTGCAGACTGTAGCCAGGAGACTCCTGCTCCGAGTCAAGTCCAGACCAGCGTGGTGCTAAGGTAGGGGTGGTGTGAGAGCGTTAGCCTTCCAGACCCCATTAGCTCCCTGTTCATTGATTAATCTCATGAATGCTTTTGGGATACTCACTACCTTCCAGTGAGACACCTGCCCTTGGGGACTGTCCTTCTTAGGAGTTAGCTGGGGCTGAGGTCAAGAGGCCTCTGTCACAGACTTAGCCTCCCGATGCCCTCTCTGCCTCCAGCCTCCCAACTCCTTCTGCTTCTCCTCAGGTCCCAAACCTGTGAATACCTTAGGACAGGTGTCATAAGCTCTTTTGTGACCTGACGGTCTCTAGCATTGCCTTTCACACTCTCTCCAAGTATTCCCATTGTGGACTCAGCAGGAGGAGTACAGACCACACCTTCTCGGTGTTTCTGTCTTTCTAAGGAAGCCCTTCTCCCCTTGGCCAGACATTACTCACCCCACTCCAACCTCAAAGGCAATGCCTTCTGAGGCCCCTCCCTCCCCCGTTCGGCTCGAAGACGGCTGTCCTCTGTATTCCCGGACCCTTTGATGACTCAGAATCTGTCTGCTCATCTTATTGCTGTCCCTGCTCTGTGTCTTGCATCTCATTTCTCAGGCAATGTCTAGTGATCTTTGTCTCCTCCTGGACATGTCATGCCTGGCATGGAACAGGTACCCAGAGAGGATGGACTAGACAAAGTCAAATCCTGGCCACCCTGAAAGAGATGGAGCCTTTCAATGTAAAAGACAGGCTCTCCCTAAGACTTAGAGGATTCGCACGCACGTGCTCTGCCTCTCCATCCCGTAGATTTGAATGTACCAAATACTAGAGGAGAGCTCACACTGAGGAGCTGTGTCCAAATTCTCCTGAATTTGTGAGTTTGGAATCGAAACACTAAAACCAGTGTTGAAATAGATCTTTTTTATTTATCAAACCTCTTTATCTTACCTGAAGACAGTCTGAATGCCTGATGGGAGAAAGGGTCCATCATCGCTCAGGACAACAAAGGATGTTGTCTGGGAGCTGTGTTGAGTAGAGCACATGTGTAAGATGGGCTAAAGTCTGACCTGGGAAGAAGAATCAGAGAAGGGAAGCAAAGTCAGGCAAACCGATGGGAGAAACTGATTTTGAGAGCTCTGAGTCAGGTAAAATGTAGTTGATCTCTTTTCTGATATTGGCAGTTACACCTAGAGTCTATGTGTGCTACGCAAGTGCTACCACTGAGCTATCTCCAGGTCCTGGATTTTGAGGCAGGGTCTTGCTACATAGCTTAAGCTGACCTTGAATTTGCTATGAAGCTCAGGCTGACTTTGACCTCATGATCTGTCTATCTCCCAGGTGCTTGCATTAGGTGTGTGCCACCATGCCTGGTACCTGAAATGTGGATTGAGTGCATGGTTCATAAACAAACTGTGATGTATGTGTGTCTGCAAGTGTATGCAATATTATTCAGCCTTACAATGGAATGAAGAGCTGGTTCACACAGTGTGGATGGACCTTGAAAACATTATGAAAAGTGAAGAAGTCAAGCACAAAGTTCATACAATCATATGGTAATGCCTAGTATAGGTAAACCCACAAAGACAGTGACTGATAGTTGCCAAGTACTGGGAGGAAGGAGGAGTCAGGGGAGGTAACTTGAGTGGATATGGAATTTCCTCTTGTTGATGATGAAAATGTTTTGAACTAGACTGAGGAGGTGGTTGGGCAACATTGTAAATGTGCTAAATATCACTGAATTCTTCATTTGAAATGATTGATTTCAGCATATGTGAATCTCACCATAATAAAATAGAAACCAACACTCACACAAACAGAACAGGGCACGTGGTATAGTCCTGGAGCATCTATGTGAAATTAATTGTGTATCTTTTCATCATCCTGAGTTCCCAAGAAGCTGTTCCCACAAATGTGTGTGTCTAGCAGGGCTCCCTCGCTGTTTTATCTCCCAGGGACAGTATGATGTGATGGCCCATGTGGATGGAGCTATGTGGGACCATCTGAAAGGAAAGGATGTCAAAGTACATGCCTTGCCTCCTTATCTGTGTCTGCTGCCTGAGGAGTCATGATGGGGTTCATTTCTCTCCCATCGAGAGGACCAGCCACTGAGCATTAAGACCTGGTGGGTGGACAGAGGGTCTCCCCTCTGTGACATCAGTTTCAGCTCCACTGAACCTCCTGTTTTCTGTTGTCAGCACTCATGAGACACAGAAAGGGAGGGGGAACTGACCCTAGGTGATGACAGAAAAGACCCAAAGTCATTAGTTTAATGGAGTGATTGGCTGGGCTTCCAGATCTCCTTATCAATGTCATTAGAATTAATTTGATTGCTTCCTTTCCCTCTTTCTTCTCTCTCTGCCCTCTCATTGCAAATGACTTTCTTGTGTCTATGTCACTCATGGGAGGATGATTTTCCATGTGGCAGGACCTTTTGAGGCAGTGATGACTTCTTTCCCCTCAGAGCTGATGGCAGAGATCTCCAGTGGATGGCAGTGTCTCTTGTACTGGTGTGTTGGGGTTGAAGGGGCTCCTAAAAGGCCCTTAGCCTTTGCCTGATAGTGTATCTTTGGATAACTAAGGTATTATGTGTCCTTTTCCAATGAGTGAAACAAAAAGAGAACTGTAAGGAATCTCACTTTGCTTCTGAGTGCTGAATTCCCAAGCTCCTGTGGGATTCTCTACCCTGGTGCCAGGATCCCTCTCTCATCTCATCTAGGCTTTTAGACCAGAGGCTTGGGAGATGATTTATGGCTGTTGCTAGACAACCTCCATCCTATGGGAATATAGAGATGCTAGTGGATGTTGGAGGTGAAAAGAAGATAACTTGGCTCAGCCCAGTACATCTCCAATGGTTCTCGCCATTGCCTTCTTAGAGCTGACCTCATGGATGCTCCAAAGTGGGAGATTTTTGGAGTCTGGGTTCCCCACAAATGCTGGCTTTGTTCGTCAGCCCAAGAACCCTACCATAGGTTGCCTTTCTGAAATGGTCCGTAGGAAGGGGCCCTGGTGTATTTTCTGACTGCTACCTGGGCTCTGACAGGGGAAGAGGCCACAAATGCATGAAAACTTCACATGGTTCCCGCATTTAGCCTTTCGGTTTCTGCATGGTGGTCACTTGCCTGGTCCATCACGTACAAATGGAACACAGGCTTGCCCCATGTGGCAGTGTAGCCCGATGAATGGGACCCAGGATAGAGTAGGGAGTCGATGTTTGATCTCTGCCATCTAGCTGTATGACTTTGACTAAGTCATGGTCCTCTTTTTAGGCTGTTATCTGGGACTGCAAAGTGAACAAGCTGGGTGACTTAGACCAACAGAAATATGAAATTCCACAGCTCTGGAAGGTCAATGTCTGAGGTCAAGGTGCTGATAGGAGCTCGATCTGACTTCTCTGGAGCAAGGCAAGGGGACCTGCCTTTGTTTCTTCCAACTTCAGGTGTTGCAGGCATCTATCTCCTGATTTGTGACATTCTATAACTTTAATCTTTCTATGGCATTCTCCCTGGGTCTCTTCACATTGTCCTTTCTCTGTGCATGCTTGTCTCTGGGCCCAAGTATCCCTTTTTAGTAGAACACCAGTCATAATGGCCAAGTATCATCCTACTGACCCCGTTTAACTTGACGGCCTCTTTCTAGAGCTTCTAAGTAAGGTCACATTCTGAGGTACAGGGACGAGGGGGCACTTGCAGGTTCAGTCAGGAAAGCGAACCGCAAAGAGGTGA